TGTACATCGTACAATTTTTTATTTATTTAATTAATAGAATTAGAATCAATATATTGACATGAATATATATACAGTATGTTAATAAATTAAGATAACATTATTAATATCTTATATCAAGGCTTCCGTTGCTTGTTAGAGTGTTACTTTTTGAAAATAACGCAAGTTTCTAACAAGGATCTTGCGGCTTCCTCACCAAATCTTTCTTGTTTGTCTTCATTTCTCTCTAATTTCTCTACGAATTTCCTTCAGCATTTCTCCCGTAACTTGTGTTTTATTAGTGGAACAGGTAAGCTGCATTCGAGCCTCTTGTAGAGATGTTTTCTGGTTGGTGTCAGTTTTTATATCAAATTTATTAAACATTCCTTCTATTTGTTGTTGATGAACGACAATTGACCAAATTCTGTACTTTACAAAATCATAGACAAGTGGAAACTTATGAATATCTGAAGCTTGAGATTCTGCAAAGGCAATGAACTGTTCTAAAAAATTATTATCATTTAGAGCCTCGAATAAGCCAAAGGATTTGCATGTTCCGTTTGAAAAATCTTCTTCTAAAAATTCAAGATAGGACTTTCCCCGCCAAGTTAACTCAGTTTTGAAAGAGTAATTAAGAACTTTTGAAGCAACCGCTTGAGCAAACTCTGGTCCATGTTCACCCCCTAAGCGACATACAGATAATGGTAAATAAATCCAGCATTCCATCCATTTTGAAAAGCTTTCAAGTGCGGCTTTAAGACCACGTTTTAATTGAAAAGAGTAATTTTGCAACTCAGTATCAGGAAGAATAGAGCTAACTTCTTCGAATTCTTCAGCAAAATAAGTATTATGAGATTCGCTTATTTCATTTAGTTCACCCAACCACAACAATACTTGATCGGGTAATTCATGTGCTCTATTACCAGGAGGAAGATGAACTAATTCACCATTTCGCATTATGCGAGGAACATTATCAAACCCCGTAAGAAAAGCAATGACTTGAGCATAAAAATTTCTCTCAAATTTAACCATGCATTTGACTTGAAAATTAAGTGCGGGGGTTTGTAGCCAACCTTTAAAATGTTTCCACTTGTTTAAATACGATACAAGAATATTTTTAGAGTTTTCCAGTTGAGGAATAAACCAATTAACAAACTGGAGATGAATTTCCCTACGCTCTAAGTACTGTTCACCCGTTTTGAGTTGATATTGCCAGCGAGTAGAAATCGGCCTTTGATATTGCTGTAAACGATATTCTAATAAAGTTCAATATAAGTTTTTAATTATATCCGACTTTATATTCATGGGAGTGTCTCTGTCATTGTCTTTATAACCATCATGAAGTTGATAAGCCAAGTTTAAAAGGTTTGATGGATGGTTTACGAAAAGTGACCCTGCGGATGGTTTTAACTTTCCGAACGCTTCATTCTCGAACTTAGTTATTGCTATATGCACTGAATGAATTCCACAGGGAATTCGAAATGCGTTAGCTTGTGATCGAAGATTGAATGCTGTAACAGCGCCTGACTTTAATCCTGACATATATGCTGCATTATCAGTTAGCCAAAATTACATTTCGCAGGATCAAAATCATAATCTTCACATGTCTGATAAACCCGGTTTGCGACCTCAACTCCAGTACACCGATCTATGTCTTCCATTGTGGCTAAAGTCAATGTAGGCTGTTCCTTCTTGTTATCCCAATAAGCGAAGCAAACTAGAAATATTTTTCTTTCCCCTCTCGTGCTTTCATCTGCCATTATTCCATAAGTAAAAAAAGGTAACTCTTTGTCAATGTTAAGGCTTTCATAAACTCGTAATTTTGCCATTTCTTGATTCCAGCGCGATATCGTGTTTTTTGAAATACATTTTTCTGGCTCTTTTCCTGTTAAAAAAGCTTGAATAAGTTTTGTGCATTCTGCTGTCGCCGAAATTGAGATAACGCCTGTGTTACTAAGTTCAGTAATGAGCTGGATAAACTCTGGTGTATACTCTTTCTTGTTTATTTTTATCAACTTTTCAGCCTCTTTTTTAAACTGTTCCGGAGATATTTTTTTATTTTTTTGAATCAAACGAAATTTTTCCTTTCCCTTTACCACTTTCATTGTGAGTGAGCGGACACGATAATTTGTATTTTCTTTTTCCTGTTGTAATTTTCTATTTTCTTTTTTTAATGAGGTTATCTTACGTTGCATTTCCGTGATAGAAAAATTTTTCTTGTTTAAAGTTTCCACAATAAATGCTTTTGCTTTATTGATGAGATATGGCGAAAAAATTTGTCCTTTTCTTTTTCCATTTGAATATGTCATTGTTTCAAAAAGGTGGCAGGCTGAAATTACTTCATCATCGGGAAGAAATTTAATAAGATCAATTAATTCTGTTCTTTTTTTTTGTAGGCGTGTAATACCCATAACATTCGAGGTTTCACTATCTGGTTCAGAAATATCAAATGTCTCAGTAGCATTTTTTGATACATCGGTATCTACTATATCAATTTTTTTTAATATATTGGTATCTACTATATCGATGTTTTCTGATGTAGTAATGAGAGCTTCGACAATTTTAAGCGTACTTGGGTCTTTTGGTTTGTTTGTTGGGTTGCCAGATGTTGTTTTGACAGCAACATCGGCGTCTTTCGATTCAGTATTACTGCTGACGGGAATCTCAGGTTCCGTTTGCTGTTTTTCTTCTTGATAACGAGCCTGGTTCAGATAGCGTAAATGTGATGTTTGTTTTTTTGGTTTTGGCATCTTGAAGTTGATATATGCGATATTGATCTACAATGGTTTTTTGCTACTATATATAACTAAACGTTCCAAGATTCTTGGCAATTTCATTTTCTTGGCTACTCGGGTTTGAGCTAAAAATAAAACTTGGCATTATTAATATTAATAGAACGAAGTATTGACATTTGTATGTGTTAGCGTTTATTTAAGCGTTTACAGTTCTAAAGTAAGAATTGAACTTTGCATGTTTTATTATTAATAAACT